ATGCCATTCGCAGCTGGTTGGGGAATTCTGGGTGTTGAAGTCCACGCATCTTAAAGTTGCCAAGGTTGAGAAACACTGTTATAGACAATAAAGATGCCTTTCGCAGCTGGCTGGGGAATTCTGGGAGTTGAAGTCCACGCATCTTAAAGTTGCCAAGGTTGAGAAACACTGTTATAGACAATAAAGATGCCTTTCGCAGCTGGCTGGGGAATTCTGGGAGTTGAAGTCTTAAAGTTTTCATCTTAAAGTTGCTGAAGTTGAGAAACCCTGCTTTAAGGCCTTGAAAAAAAATATTACAGCAGAAAGGGATCCTAACATTCTTACCCCATAAGGCAGCCTCTCCGTCCACCTCCTGTGAGATCTCCAAAGCCAGTAGCTGCGCTCCGGCATCAAATAAAGCTGCCTGGGGCTTGTCAGGAACAACCTCCAAGGCGCCGTGCACCTAAAAGAGAAACCAGCATCCCGGAGATGCCTAAACCATCACGACACTGGTGGGGCCAAAAGAAGGAAATTAGGAGCTGGGGAGAAGAAGGGCCACCGTGCTGGGTGATTGACAGAAGAAGTTGGGTCCCCCTTGAATGAAGACGAAGGGTCCTCACCTGCTCTGCCTCCTCCACCTGGCTCAGCAGGAAGCCCTCGGCCAGGGCCACCGCCTGGGAGCTGCTCTCTGGCATACACTCCCTGACCCAGTTCTTCATCTCCAGGGGCAGGACAGTCAGGAACTGTTCCAAGACCACCAGGTCCAGGATCTGATTTTTGGTGTGCTGCTCCGGCTTCAGCCACTGGCAGCAGAGATGGTACAGCTGGCTGCAAACCTCTCGGGGACCCACGCCCTCCAGGTAGGAGAACTGTCTGAAACGCCAGCACTGAGCTTCCACGCTAGGGACGTTCTCAGCCAGAAACTTTGGCGCCGTTCTTTCCAAGAATTCCTCACTGCTCCCAGCCTGGATGGTGTAAGGAGACTTTCCTGCTTGCAAGCCAGCTGAGCCTCCCTCTTCCATCACCGATCCACACTCCATACTAGCCACCAACGTAGCTGGAGGTTCACTCTCGTCTTGTCCCTGATTCTGCAAAAATCAGCAAAGTGACTGCAGATACCAAATTTGGGCAAGTCAACGAAGTCTCTGGTACATGTCATTATTAACACTCTGAAGCCCAACAAGATTTAGCACTCAGAGGCCTGCCTGTACTCAACATCTCTCTTTATTAAGAAGTCTGAGTGATAGGGATGTGCAAAACTGCTCCAAGCTCAAAACAGTACTTTGAAGTGTTCCAGGTTCAGAACAAAGCATCCCATAGTCTGGGCATTTTGTTTTGAGTCTTCTATCATAGCAACTATGGGAATGTGAAAGAAATTTCTCGTTTTCTTGTCCTAGCACCATCAAAGTGGGTGGGATGAAAGTCAATGTGGCGTTGCTACCCTAACCCAACTTACAGAAAAATTGGCAAAGGGGATTTTTTTTTCTTTTTAAAAAAATAAAATTCCACATCAAGTAAGCGACATGGTTGGTACTGTCTGAAGTACCACTGCTATTCTATTCCTCCTCATTCCTTTTAGCATTCTTATTATATTTGGATGGTCTTGCAGATCTATCCCCAAAAAGGTCTGCCTTGAGCCCAGAGCAAAACACTTTGCGCAGGTGACAAAACTTCTCCCACATTCAATATGCCTGCCTATAGAGGGCAGCCCCAAAGATCTTTTTTCCAAACCTCACCAGCGATTGGCCCCCTCTTTAGCCTTGGTATTCTCTTTTTCAGTCGGATTCAGAGAGCTGGCTGCCCTTGCTCCAGATGCAGAGACAGAGAGAGAGAGAAAGATGGATGATACCATTGGCAGCAGAAAGGCAGGAGAGGGAGGGACACTCACTTTGCCAGTAGTTCCCCCCCCCCCCGCTTCAGAACATTCTAGTTATTGCTGCTTTTCCAGCTTTCCATCCTTGAGCAATTCCTCTAACAAAAGAAGGCAAAGCCCTTCTTGGAACACCAGGGAACTCTCATGGGGCTATCAGGATGCCTTAACCCTTTCTTGTCCAAACCCCAGAAGAGTTTTCTGCATTCAGAGAACGACCTCTATAACAATAATGAAGCAGGAAGGCAAGTGGGGGGGGGGAGCTGAGGAAAGCGAGCAAAATCCCCCCCCCCCCTTTCCTTTCCTTTTTTTTTTTTTTTTTT